GCATAGTTTTAACACATCTACGCCTACTTCTTAGGACAAAACACGGCTCTGACTCGCCACGGTCTAATATGATTCATCCTTACTCCAGCCTCGGTTCATTCGGAATTTGCAGGGTGTTTGCCTTCCATTTCCAAGAATATAGAGCTTGGGCACTTTTCCCCTCGCGATAAATATTTTACACGAGCCACGGTTTAGCATCGATCCTAGTCTAAGGAGGAACTAGAATAGGACTTGCGAACACAATGAAATACGTTGAGGGTATTATAAAGATTTTGTTGAATTCATTTATTTAATCGTATCCTATATACGATATAATTATTTTAATATTTTATTGTGCAAACAAAAGCCAGAAAGGTTTGTTTGTGTACTAAAATCATCACTGTACATCAATAGTTACAATTAATAGACTGAACTATCAAATTACTTAATCTAACATTGTTACGTTTGTGACTTTGATTTTTTCCCTAAAGTGCACTCAGGATTAAATTTCATATTTATATTTTAATAATTTCTTACTCACATGCTATTAATAATAATTATTACGCTATGCATTTGGAGAAGTTTTTCTACAAATACAAATGGCTTGATTTGTATAGTATAAAGTTGTCATAAACGGGACAAGATAGAACGAGCATAAAAATGTTTTATGTTTTCGATTCTTTGGTTTATTTCCTAATATGGTATTCCCAAATTAGATACGATACTAATCTAATGATTCTATGTACAAGAGTATATAGTTACGTTTCCAGACTCGGTAATGTAATATCTGCTCATATTGACAACCTCCGTGGCCGAGTGGTTTGTACGCCGGGTTTTTATAGTGTCACCGACTCGAGAGGTCCCGGGTTCGTATCCCGGTGGGGACAGATGTTATTGTGATGAATACTATGCATTGTACTCCAGTCATGGATGTTTAATATGTATTTCTATATAAATATACTAATATATGTACAGTATATGTATTCTATCCGTTACCCTAGTATCCCATAACACAAGCCTTACAGTGCTTACTTTGGGGCTACACTAATTAGTGTGAGTGTTGGTTAATATTTATTAAGATAATAAACCACAGCTTCAAGAGTATAAAATTTGTGTAATACCTATACTCATAGACGCGGGACACACAGAAAAGACGTAAGACGCATACGATGCGCGGGCATAAGTCTCCTCCGTGTCCTTCTCATATTGAACTGAACTGCTGAATTGACTGTCAACGTTGTAAGCTCAAAACACCGGAGGTTCACAAGATGACAGAGCCGAAATATCCTTTAAAAAAAATTTATGATTACATTATTACGTTAACCTAGTTCTATCGGGCACACTCGGTCATTGGACGTCCTCTTAAGTTGACGTCTCGAGAAAAACTGATAAGAGTATCTAGTAAAAAAACATTTAGGTAACTTTCCATCAGATGTAAAATAAATTGCATGTAGTGATTCTTCTTAAGCTTTTGAGGAACCTTTGTTATAATTTTAACTTGATCGAGTAAAACAGGATATGAGTGCGTGATAATTCTGAATCAAGATCACTTTATATCGTAACTTACTTCAAAATACAATGAATGGGTTTTGATGTTGCGGTGACTTTGCTAGGAGGGCAATGCTTTGGCAGTACCCATTGGAATCCTGTGACAGCATAAAACATACGTCAGCGTGTATTTTGTATCTAGGAAACGCTGCGCTCAGAATTTTACAGCGTTATGTAAATAAAAAAAAACTATGCTCTTAGTTATCAAGCGACACACTGGCTGTTTGATTCCTCATCTCCCGACACTAAGAGACAAATTGGTGAACCTGGCATGATTCTCCGTGATTACACATTTCAATCGGGCTTCCACAAGCGGATCTCACCGATTGAAATTTCAAGAGGCACGTATTCACGGAGATATTTAGTCGCCACTGGAGGAAACTGATCGCAGCCAACCAGTGACCAGTTCACAATGGCATCTCAAACACAAAATGTCTTCATCATCGTTACTATCGTCGAGAACGACTGTAGAGCTAGCGAACATATGACAATCGCCGCTTGCGTGCGGTTGCTTAACGTTTATTGTGACGTATATACACAATGTTATTTATTAGTCACCGGATCAGACAAGCGAGCCTAATAAGGCGTCGAAGTAGCAAATTAAATTGCTATTGTGCTAGAAAGTGAGGCTTGGCCGCCCCCAGCTGACTCATGGACTTCGGCCACCGAATCGATGCGACTACCATTATCTTTATCTATGCTAAGGTCGAACGTATCGGAACATTGTCCATTTATTTGGTGAAATACCTTGACATTGGCCATTTCAGTCAGACGGACTTATTCCATCGTTATTAGTAGCTACCGATTTGTAAGAGATTTTAAAGTGTTAATTTTAAATCTCGTAATCTATTGAAATATCCATTGATTCTTTAGATCGCTTAAAAGCTAGTAAACTATTAGTAATTTCAAAACTCTATAATAACTATTAAATTCTAAAAAACATATTTGAAAAAGTAAATTATCCAAATATGTACCTGTACATTACGTGATAACAAACTCTATCTCAAAAACACGTCTATTTTGGATTTGTTATAAAGCTGATTTAAACATGAATCTTTCACACCTGGGCTCCATCCAAATTCACATTCGGTCCAAATTAGAGGAAAGCCTGACATTGTTCATTTGGAAAACCTGACTCAAATCCAATTAGTAGATAGATTGATTGTCTAATTACACCTGATTAAGATAAATTCTTAGGAGGATCTTACCTTCAGAGGTAGGGACACAATATCGAATCCGATACCTTACTCATATTAGTACTTTTGATTCGATACTAGTTCTTTAAACATTGATTACTTTTGTTCGATACTCTGCATCAAATTTCGAATCGATTCAATCATGCATACTAAATACTATAACGGAACGCAACGTAGCGTAGTTTTATAAAGGCTGCGTTCTAAACCTACGCTCCAGGTGCATCTAATGTCAAATTTGACGTAAGTTTTATACATTTTATGTCAAAATTGAAACGTCAGGGTAAAAAGTTGCGGTGCTCAGAGCATGGGTTTGGAACAAATTTACCATGTGTCGAATGAACAACAGCCCATCTGTCTACTCCAAAATAAATGTAAAAATGAGTAATAATGTAAACTAATAATGATTATTTTCTATACTTACTCATGACGATACATTTGTTTCCAAACCAATACTAGAAGATATCGATACTTTTGGTTTCATGTCCCCATTCAGAGGTTGTGGTTACGCGAAAATCAACCAAACGACGACATAGACGATCCATACATTCCAATCATTTTAATATTAAAATGGTGGCCACTGTTGCCAGGTCCCCCGAGTTTATCAGGAGATCTCCTGTTTTTCTGAAATTTCTCCTGTTCTTCTACATGAATCTACTGTTTACCTTACAATGCAATTTTCTTTTTTAAATTGCATGCCGAGTTGTTGCGTTTTCCGCTATTAAGAATGTAGGGAACCTTAACTATAATAAAATAAATATGTTATTGTCTAAAAACACGAGCTTTGAGGGGCGACAGATGCCACATTCGTTACTGGCCTATATGCAAATTCGGAAAAAGTACGCCTCTGCATCTACTGTTTTTTCTTGTAGCACTTTCCATAAATCTACTGCTTTTATTTATAACGCCACCCGATTTTTAAAAATCGGACCTGGCAACACTGATGGTGGCAAACAAGCATACGACCCGCCTGATGGTAAGCGGCCACCATAGCCTTTATAGACGCTTGCGTTACAAAATATATCACTCGCGCCATTGTCCGTTCTGACCCAATCTCGTACCCCGTAGAGCCCGGAACTTTACTCACAGACAGTGTCACAACAGCACAAAAAGGTAGTGTTATGTCACTGTGGTCTTCTTTAAGGTGCAGGTTACTTCCCCAAATGGGCGCTCCAATTCGATTGGAAAATCCGCTATGCTCTCTTAAAATACGTTTAGTATGAAAGTTTCAAAATACAAAGACAGTAATAGATTAAGCAAAATCTGACTTCTGGAAGTTTCACTTCTGTATCATGAGAGTATATAAAGTTACCTCGTTTTAATTTTATTAAGGCATCGGCCTGTAGACCTGAATTAAGATTGTGGGTATAACCAAGTGCCTATTGAGCCTACAATGTAACAACGGTGGATTATCGCTAGGGAAAACTTCATATTAGCCATTTTTCGATAATGACTGTGAAAAAGTAATCTGTGGATGGTACTTAAAAATAATAATTACTAAATAACTAAACCCTGTCATCATCATTCCAATCTCAACGAAGTGTTCCAAATTTCTAATTTGCATGCAGACACAAAATACACCACGGTGTTAAAAATGATAAGATTAAACGAACAGTGACACGATAAACAAAGAAAAAGATAAAAAGTGAATTCTCGCCGCACCTAGAGATGATCAACATCTCAATCAGTAAGAACTGACACTATTTTACCCGACTGCCCAATGCAACAGCGTGAAGTGCGATGCGCAGACAGGGTATAGTGTTTATCAGTCTATGTTTATATGTTCCTTTGTGGCACACTAGAGACGAAACGCGTGGACCGATTTTGATGATTCATACGTCAATCGATTCGTCTTAACCATGGGAGTGCTACTAAATGATATGATGGTATTCAAAATTCAATATGGAGAAATGAGGCGCCATATTGATACAAAGTAAAAAATATATCTCGATTGGGGTATCATTGTCTAGATAATTGGAAATCATGTGTAGGTTTTCATATAAAAAATCATATAACCCTAAATTTTCACCCTACCACCACCCATATTTTTATGGAGATACGAAGTTCGCTGGGTCAGCTAGTAATTTTGTAAATTTTATGTTTACTACACAAATTCAGTACGGAATAATATGTCCGTCATTTAAATAATTTAAAGCTCTGAGTAAGAAGAATTAACCACGGGATATGTGTTATTTAGTCTAATATCTGAGCAAAAAACAAAATCAAGGTACATTTCTCATCCATCATCTCCTAAGTTAACACGAATTCCTTTGTCACCAGATGAAAACGCCAGCCATCCAGAACGACTTCAGCTACTACAGACGCAGCGTCTCCCGCGGAGGTCTCATCAATGCCGAAACTCCCGGGGACGAGCCGCACATAAGCTCCGAGGTTACAAACAGAATGTCCCTCTTCTACGCACAAGCCACGCCGATGCTGAAAGTTCTCTCCGAGGCCACGAGCCAATTTGTAAACGACAACCAACAAGACTTGGAGAACACGACAGAGACTTTGAGCACGATGGCCAAAGTTTGCTTGAGGATGCTCGAAAATCCGTAAGTTGATCTTCCATGAATCTCTTTTTGAATATTCGCAAGGTAGTGTTGCCCAAATTCAGTCTTGGTCTTGTTCTTGCATTTTTGCAAGACCAAGACCAAGACTGACCGTGCAAGACTTGAGCAAGAACAAGACTAATCCGGCAAGACTCTTGCGTCTTGCACCTAGGACTTAGCGCTATTTCACGGAGTAGTTAGGTATAACAGTTCGGTGTATAGGTACGCTTAGGAATTCTATGAGACGCAAAAAACTGTATCAAAGGATATGAAAAACTGGACCTATGCGCATTACGACCAATACCATAAACATACATAGCGAATAAAAAAATATCCATTAAAATCAAACAGAGTGCATGCATAGTTTTGTTTTAACCATCGGCATTTTGATAATGCGGCATCAAAGGTTTTGTACTGACTTCTCAAAGAAATTTGCCGCTTTTCGGAAGTACATGGTGATGATACACGCGCCGCACAGTGGGTGAAAAAAAGAGGTCCCCTTTCATAGGATTTTTGAAAAAATAAAAATGTATATTATCCGTTTAAGGTATGCGGTTTTATTAGACATATCAGTACATTGAATAATAAAATAGTTTGGGGAATTTCCTTTTAATCTAACACCATAAAGCACGGGCTTTAGAGTTTCAAATGTATGAAAACGGAATTTGTTTTGCTCATAACTTGTCTCGGTCTTCTACGGTCAAGCTGAAACTAATAGGGATTATTACCGGGTCTGTTACGAAGCCATGTGACCTTTGACCTTCACCCCGGACGGCCCCGTTCAAAAGATACGAATTTTTCAAAATGCTTATTAGGGTAATTTTGCTTTACGGGGTTATGTGTCTCAATAAACAGTTTGTTTATGTTTCTTGCCCAGCATTTAGTTATTAATACAGCGCAGATTATTATCTAATAAAACTATACATATATATATATATATAGATAACGACACCATACAACTTAACTTTAAATAAAAGCGTCCTTATTCAAAAGATATGGAATTAATATAAATAGATAAAAGAAATAGTTTTAAGAAAAAGAAAACAAGAATACAATATTGTAAAGAATTACAATGAAGTCGTTTACAGCCTACAATTTAATCTTTTGTTTGACAATCGCTTAAAAGCCGCGCGCCATTAACGAGAGCATCATTACATATAAACAATACAAACTCTATTGTTGCAGGTTTTGAGGAATTCAAAGGGTTACCCACAGTCATTACCTGCCGTTGTTTGCCTATAATAATTACTGATTATTTGCTTTTATTGTGGGTAGGTGAATAAATAATACGTTGTTATTATTATTATCCAACAATGACTTCGATTATAATAAATACGGAGTACACCTGTATTTCATTTCACTTATCATTATTGATTCGTACCGTAACGTTCTCTTTGCTCAAATTTTAAGTTGCTCTAATCTCGACGTATATATATATATGAGGCAAAAATCTTTTAGTGCCGACATGTTATTTCAAAAAGTACTCGATTCAATGAGATTTTCATTATCTGAAGAACAAAAGACAACTCTTAAAACGTTTTGTGCTACATATACGAGTAATCTTAAACGCAAATGGAAGTCAGCTAATTACACACAAGGGAATTTTATAAAGAAGTTTGCTGACTGGTTGGACCAAGAAATAAAATGGCCAGAGTTGGTTTCACTAGACATAACTGAAGAACAATCAAATATTATGACGAGTTTTGAAGATCCTTCAACAAGTGTTTCAACAGTAACAAGACCTAGTTTATCAACGGAATGCACTGTTCCTCATAGTGTGACTGTGTCGACATCAACCGCTACATTTAGTCCTCGAAAAGAATTTGCCGATTTGAGTCCACTGCAAAAAAGAAGAAGAACTGAAAATCTCATTGCCGAAAACGATTTTGAGACACTTGCTTATGCCCTGGCTAGGAAAGCGGAAAATGAAAACCAAACGGACTTTGTAGAATTAGTGAAGCATTTGATTAAAAAGCCTGAAGATGCGCCAATGCTGCGAGCCTGCCTGAAATCGACGAAACGAACTTGTCATACCGATAAGGAACTCGGTATTTCAACATCACTGAAATTATCGAAATGGCAGTATATTACATTGAGGCAGACAATGAGAGACATGGGGTGTGATATACTTCCATCGTATGATGCTTTGAAGCAAGAGAAGAAGGAGTGCTACGTTGAAAAAGAAGACATGGTAATAACTGAGACTGAAGTTAAACTTAAACTTCAGCCTATTTTAGATATTACGGTCAAGAGACTATTAAAAACTCTGGAAACTGATTTAACTGGCAGTAATTCGACTCTTATCAGTAAATGGGGGTTTGACGGTGCATCTGGGCAAAGCAACTACCAACAAAAAATTGACGGCGATGATTCAAGCATCTTCATGTGTTCATTTGTGCCGTTAAAACTGGTGAGAGATGGTACTGATGAAATAATATGGGAAAACCCCAAAGCGTCTTCAACGTTTTACTGTCGACCCATTTATTTTAAGTTTGCTAAAGAGAACGATTTGAATGTTAAAGAAGAAATGACTTCAATTGATACGGAAATTGCTGCTCTACATCCAACTGTTATCGATGGTGCAAATGTAAAACACGTTCTGCATATGACGATGATTGATGGTAAAATAACTTCACATTTATCAGATACATCCACAGCTACATGCGATATATGCAAAGCAAAACCAAAAGAAATGAATGATATCGACAAGGTTACTCAGAGAACCCAGTCTGTAGACATGTTTAAGTTCGGTCTGTCTTCCCTCCATGCACGAATTAGATGCATGGAATGTATCTTACATATTGCTTACCGTCTCGACTTCAAGAAATGGCAAGCTAAGGGCGAAGATTTGAAGCAACAGTTAAGCCAAAGAAAAAAGGCTATTCAATAACAATTCCGGACTGAAACGGGGCTACTTGTGGACGTTGTTAAACAAGGGGCTGGTACAAGCAACGATGGAAACACAGCAAGAAGATTTTTTGTTAATCCTCAAATTACTGCTCAAATAACGGGTGTTGATGAAGAACTCGTTAGAAGATTTGGAGTGATTCTTCAGGCTATCTCATGTGGAGAGTTTGTGGACGTGGAAAAATTCCGCCAATATTGTGCTGCTACAGCACGCAAATATGTCGAGCTCTATGAATGGTATTATATGCCCTCAAGCGTGCATAAATTACTCATTCATGGTGCCGATATAATAGAGCACAATAACTTTATACCAATCGGCAAGCTCTCTGAAGAGGCCTCTGAAGCTCGTAACAAAGATTTTAAAAACTTCAGAACCTTCCACTCGCGTAAATCTAGCAGGATTGCAACAAATGAAGATATTATCAATAATTTGTTAATATCGTCTGACCCATACCTGTCAAGTTTCAGGCCTAAAATATGTCAACGAAATAAACCTCTCACAAATGAAGCTAAATCATTATTATTAACTTCTTGTGAAGATAAGGAAAATATAGAGTTTGTAGATGTAGGTAATGTATCTGATTATGACTTTGATTAGTATGTGTTCTTTCCCTCAAATCAAATTATATCAAACTTTGTATTTTTATTTTTTTGTATCTTTGTATCATATTAATATAAACAGTTTACATATTTAAGAACTGTTGTAGCCAATTTGAGTTCTACTAATCTTTTATACTTTAGCTTGTATGTGTGTAGTAATTTATACAGTTGTGGCTTCCTTATTATGCATTATTTAATTTATGATATCAAGCTTAGTTAGTAATTTAAGTTTTGTAAATAAAAATATTGATGTTAATAATTTTGTTTTATTCATAATGTAAATAGTTTATTTTCTCGTTTGGCAGTAACATATCAGAATCTCCCTTACTACATTTACTAATATTAATAACCAGCTAGTTTATCTGGAAAAACACTTTGTTCATTTTAAGCTTAGTCAGTTAAAGTTCTAGGTATCCCAAAATAAACATATTTGATCAAACCCTTTCTTAGATAGACATTGTAAGTGTAAGTATGTTTGTTTGACAAAATTAATTATTATAGGCAAACAACGGCAGGTAATGACTGTGGGTAACCCTTTGAATTCCTCAAAACCTGCAACAATAGAGTTTGTATTGTTTATATGTAATGATGCTCTCGTTAATGGCGCGCGGCTTTTAAGCGATTGTCAAACAAAAGATTAAATTGTAGGCTGTAAACGACTTCATTGTAATTCTTTACAATATTGTATTCTTGTTTTCTTTTTCTTAAAACTATTTCTTTTATCTATTTATATTAATTCCATATCTTTTGAATTAGGACGCTTTTATTTAAAGTTAAGTTGTATGGTGGCGTTATCTACTGTGTAGTTTTATTAGATAATAATCTGTGTTATATTAATAACTAAATGCTGGGCAAGAAACAGAAACAAACTGTTTATTGAGACACATAACCCCGTAAAGCAAAATTACCCTAATAAGCATTTTGAAAAATTCGTATCTTTTGAACGGGGCCGTCCGGGGTGAAGGTCAAAGGTCACATGGCTTCGTAACAGACCCGGTAATAATCCCTATAAGTTTCAGCTTGACCGTAGAAGACCGATACAAGTTATGAGCAAAACAAATTCCGTTTTCATACATTTGAAACTCTAAAGCCCGTGCTTTATGGTGTTAGATTAAAAGGAAATTCCCCAAACTATTTTATTATTCAATGTACTGATATGTCCAATAAAACCGCATACCTTAAACGGATAATAAACATTTTTATTTTTTCAAAAATCCTATGAAAGGGGACCTCTTTTTTTCACCCACTGTGCGCCGGCGGCTTCTATTGAAATCACATACAACAATCGTTGCCTCCGCGCCGAAATCACAACATTTGACACTATTTGATTGCCGCCACAGGGCCTAGGTATACTCATGCAAAATTCTAATTTCGTGTCGTGCCGTCCCACTCACGCTAATACTATTTAATATATGAGCGAGCGAGACGGTACGACACGAACTTCGATTTTCGAATTTTAGATTACAGGTGTTCCAAAGAATAAATAAGTTTCAGAG